ATGGTGAAGCAACAAAGTCGATTGCACGCGATTCAGGACTTTTACGAATTAGTTCGTCGCCCCAGCAGACGAGGACACCTTGCTTACTCCCACAAGACGCAGTTGAATGTTCTCTTTCAAGCCTTCATTCACCCCAACGCCTACAGACATTTGCTGCAGGTGTTAACGTATGGTGGCCAGGCGTTTGCAACATTCGCACAAAAGACATACGCAGGTTGTGCAAATTTCCCTGCTCAGTGTCGAAGGTATAAATTACGCTTCATTCCTACCGGATTTGAGTGGAAAATAAGACAATAGCATGTGCCAAAGAGAATGCTTAAATCTGTGCATTGCGAGTCGTTTGCTAAACAATTAAATAACTTGTGAAAACGATCCGAATCGCAGGCTTCCTCATAGTTGTGTTTTTTGACATTTGTTCTGACAGCCATTTGACGTGGATTTAATTCTTCGAGGGGTGGGCTAGGCTGGGTGACAGCAGAAGTGATTGACCGTAAATAACAGCCTTTCGCTTGCTAAACCAGTCACTTTTGAAATGAATGTCGCCTTTGTTTCGGAAATAGCAGCCGTGAATGGCAATTGGCCGTCAGCACGCTTGGAATCGCTGGTTTCATACGTGTTTAAATGTGAGTGCAATGCGATGTAGGTATGTATCAAGTGACACATTTTTTACTACTACGGCGCCAACATCATTGGTCCTTTTTAAAGGTTTCAGTTTACTTGACTTGGTTAGGGGAAAGGAAGCAGGCTAATATAAGGCCCACTAACAAAAGAGGATATTTTGGATGGAAAACGATACCAGCAGAAGAGCTTTGCCACGAATCAGGTGACAGGGACGAGGAGGGGGGATTTCAGAGGCAGCACAGATTGAGTCTCCACAAACGGCACTTGTTGTTCTGGAGGTGTGGGACAACGAAAGGCTGTGCGTTAGCCCCGTAGAGTCCTTCCGCGTTACTTGAGGGTGAAAAAGCAAGTTAGTGTGGGTGGCAACTTTGTCCGTGGGTCCACACAGAATCGACCACATGCGAATGGGCGGGATGGGCTGCAGTCGGTGTGAAAGCGCCCGTCTTCCGGACCCAGTCGTGATAATAGGCACACGCGCACGCGCACACAACAGCCTCTCGGCAGGAGTTTACGCCCGGTGAGTCACAAGTATGCAAATGTTCGCCTGGGTTGTACACTTAAGGGGCATCGTATAGTTCAAGCGTGCATCGCACAACGCAAACCCACGGCCGTGAGATGAGGGCCAAATGTAGGGCGTATTTTGAATAAACTAAGAGTATTTTTCAGTAATAACTAATACCCAGGGAGACGTGCTACCGCACTCCTGCTAACTTATTTCCTGCAAGCGACTACTGCGGAGCCGGCACAGCACGCAACTTTGTACCTAATCGAAGAACAGTCATTCTAGCCAAAATCCTCTCAATGTAATTAAACTATGTGGACATTTGGGCATAAATTGTTAATGTATACAGAGCAGCTATGTCAAAGCCGGATTTAACAACCCTCTTCGCATTGAAATTAAATTAGAACTTAAAAAACAAACGTTTAGTTGTTTACAAGCAGTAGAACAGGACGACAAAATGTGACTGAAGCCAAAACAGCAATGAGAAACGCGGTGTCGATTTAGTGGTAAATATAATGCCGGAAAAACGGACAACAGTATTTAACATCTCTGCTTACTCGAAATACTGGGAGTAGTTTTAGTTGAAACAGTCAATTTAAAAAGATGCAGGTGATCTTCCTCGAATGTACACAGTTCCAGTTTCATCACTTATACGAATCTTTGTTGACCCCTGGATTTACACATTTTCGTTAGCTAATATTTTACCAATTGGGGAGTCATACGAAATAAACGTTACTTTTTAAGTAAAAGTAGAGGGCTTTTTATGAGAATTAAACTTTAAACAATTAAAAAGACCTGAATATGGAGAAGCCGATGTGGTGATTCAATTCACGCAATAGGCAGACAAGTGTTGAATGCGAAGTAACTTGACGAAAAGGGTTATAAATGGAATAACTGCAGTAGCGATGAATCTTGCCTTCCGGAAATTCTGACAAAGTTCGACCGTTACAAATGCTGGAATAAGACCACCTGAAAAAAGAGTTTCGGTGCTCTCGAACCTTGTAAAATGCAGTAAATAGGGTCAAGCAAGCATGACTATCTATTGAGATAATGAACACACAAGCCAGTGCTGGTTTCGCTAAATTCCAAACCGTCCCGCATTTAGGCAAGTTGTAAAAACGAAGGCCAAATTACTAGGCGAAGTGGGCAAAGGAACACGGGCGAACGAAATATCTGAAAGGAACCTTTATTTGTGGTGAATAAGTTTCGTGTGACAAAGTAACCTATGGAGAATGCATTGATGTTTTCTCGCAAACTGGAATGCTGAATTCGACGAAGGTATCCGTGACACTCAGACAAACTCACAGAAATCCATCGTCGCTAGAGTTTTGAGGAAGTGGCAGGTTTGATTGTCTTGACACAAAAAATCCGAGGAACTGTGAAACTGAGGGTAGATGTGACTAATGGGAATATTCAATTTTTTGTCATAGCGACTACGAAATTCCTCTGCGCAAGAACAAATTCACTCTACCAACTAAAATAATCGACGTCATGCGTTGGTGTTCGTGCGAGTGCGCAAATCGCCCTCTACGACACAGATCAGATCAGACTTGGATACGAGTAGAGCGCAGTAGATTGCATGGTGTTTGTTGCAATAACCAGCATCGTGTACAGAAGACACATGTTCACTGATTCTAACCTTTCCTTTTCATGAGTTAATTGAAGGATGGATCATTGGGAAGATGGAGCAAAGTGGTCAGTAGTCAACGCGAGAGAACAAGGCCAACTGTCGTCAAGGGTGAAGACATGCATTGAAAAAAGCAAATGTGACATCGGCATCCAAACCAAAATTAAGTCCTCAAGCATAATAAAATATCGCGAATATGTGTTTTTGTAAGCAACCCTAAAATCAGTAAATCGAGGTAAACTTTGAAATGCTCAAGTTGAAAGAAGAGAGCAGACTCAAAAAGCGTCTGCTTACCACGCATATTTTTCACTATGAACATAATGCTTATTCTAGGGCTTTGGGTCTAATTCTATTCCGTCTTTTAATTCAGCCTGTTTTCCACTTTAGTCAGACATTTGTGCGTGGGATCGGGTCAATGCTACAATATTTACATCGCCACAAAAGCTTACAGTGGTGTTTGTCACTTTATGAGTGCTTTACCTAAAACCGTTCAACCAAGTTTATGATACGTCGATCCTAGTGACATTTCACTAGTGTCGTTGTCCTGTTTTTGCTATAACCTTCACCTTTGGTCATTTTACTGCGCAATTCGTAGATAAACGTTTTGACGGAAGTGAGCGGTTGTGCGCATGTTCAGCTACACCACGTCCAACCTACATTCGTAGAAGCAGCCATGGAAATTAACTCTACACTTCCATGAACACAAGACAACACACGAGTTTATTGACTTGCTTGATGGCAAAGAAATGCAATGCTGATCAACAGCGTTTCATAACATCAACATATTTGTTACTGGGGTTTAAGTGCAATAACGAGACCAACTCTCTCCATCGATTAATGGGAGTCGATGCATCCACTATAAAAAAAATCCTCATGATGACCCATTCTCAGTTTTGGCTAACCAGGACATAGCACTCATGAGCTTGTTGTGTTAAAGTGAAGCCTATAGATTTTTACTTTAAAGGTTCGTGCTATAATTACTTGCAATACACAACTTGCAGGAGCTGAAAATGATCTAATACAACAACCCAGATTTTACTAAAGTATTTTTAAAAAAAACTTATCTAAGCTTACTGAACATGAATAAAGCTAGTGCGTAATGTGAGGACATCGAAGGAAATTGCGACAGCTGCTTCAGAATAACTAGGTCACCGCTCCAAGCCAGCCACAATCCGGGTTTTCGGTCAGTTAAAAGGCGATGGGTGGCCCACAGGTTTTGAAACATGGGCTTGTGATCTCGTTGATAACCATAATGAATCACCAGCACAGGTGACCCCGATTCTGCTTTGATGTCCCGCTACTAGCCTCATGTGTGTGTGTTCAAATCCGAAGAATTTTGCCACATGAGGATACAACGAGGCGCAAATTCACTTCACGAATTTCAGTACTTTTAATAATCTGACCTGCAGATGAGTCAGAAGTTATTTCGGGTTGTCCAAGTTAACCTAAACTCGATATACTTTTATGATATTTAGCGATACGGGCCACATCGACCTCCTATGGCGCGTTCCCTTCACATTGAGAGTTTTAGGGCTGTGAGTCAGACCAAGAACTTGCTGATGTCGTAGTTAAAAACCTAGCATGGAATATTTGCTCCTTCTAATATCTTACCACCCAAAACTAAAATAGACCATTGTAAAGGTGTTACTCGTCATAAACAAGCACCAGAGAACAAGAATAAATTTGACTGACGAAGTGTTATTTGCGAAGCCCTCACAACACAACTACGAACTTGTAGAATGGTCTGCCAGCAGACTCTATGAATTATTGTTTATCTCCATATATACCAGCCTAAACATCCTTCGGGAAGCAAAGTTCTGGCGAAGGAAAAAGATGAGCGCATCCAAATTTTTGGTTTAACTTCCGGATTTACTTTGCAATACAGTACCTTCCGCTTAAAGACAAAACTGCAAAGGATTTCGTAAAAGGAAGCAGATTTCGACGCATTATTTATTTTAAATAAAATTTGATGATAAAGGAAGGGCAGAAGACAAGGTCATGTAGGTTCGACGGATTCAAGAGGAGAGGGACAGGGGGTACACAAGATGGACAAGGGGCACACGCAAACAGAGAGGAAGAGTTGTAGGAACGAAAGGTAAATTTTCATTATACATTTGTCAGACACGAGATAAGAAGGAGCCGCTTTGTTGGAGAGCAAAATAAACTGAAAATATGTACAAGTATGGACACCCGTGTTATGGTCAAGAGAGGATGTGTGGAGGGGTGGCATGCGTAAACACGAGGTCTCCACTACCAAAGGACACATTTATGCACAGGGTTCATGAAAGATCCCCGTGGGCAAGAAAACGCCTTGGCAAAGTCTTCCGAGTTCGACAATGTCCCGATTACTCTACAACAGCATTTAACTGGTTACAAATTCAGTAAACTTCGAGTTGCTTATTTATTGATTTTGTGACGTGATGTGCTTCAGTTTGCCGATTCGCATAGGAATCAACACGAGTTGCACCCAAAAGCCGTGAAATATTCTAGACGGCGAAATTGCAAGCAAATACTCACACAATCATGTCCTGAATACGTTTTGAAAATTGCCTAGGTTCAAACGAAAGTGCCTAATATTCTCTCCGGGGATAATGTGTCATTGCATGAAGGACCAGAGCACTGGTTATTCAAACTCGAAGTAATCTGATTAAGCATCAGCCTAGTAGAGTTCCAAAACTCTGGGAGTTTATTTCTAGCGAGGAGGCGGGTCTTTGCTGATCTTTGACTTCGGTTCTGGTGGTCAGAGGTCCTAAAAGTTTTGCCGTTGTGCGGGGGCTTTGGAACACAGATAGCGTTCTGCTCCAGAACGTACTTTTACTCACTAATTAAGCTAAATGAGAACGATAATGCTCTTGAAGTGGCCGCTTTGTGAAACTGACAAGCTACACAGACCAAATAGTGCATGCTATTAGATGTACTTAACAAACACTTCCCCTGAGTTGTCTATAAGTGTGTTCCAACTTGAAGGATTTAGAGCGAAATTTTCAGTGCGTGATATTCATTATCCGACTGACATGTTAGGAGCAGCTGAACAGGTATATTATTATGTTTGGGAAATGTAACTTATACTAGGAAACATGTATCAAAAAGACAGGAGGTTTAAGATCGAAGGCACAACGGGTTTTGTAGTTAGCCATCCGCCTCTGATAAGGAGGTGGGCTTGGCAAGGAGACCGAGGAATTACAGCGCTATTTGGTGATTGCTTCACTTGAAGACTCGGGGGACAACCAAGGTGGCCTGCTAAAAACGAGAAGAAACCCTAGTCCTTCGAGGTGTGCCATACTTCCCTCCCAATCCAAGCTTGCGAATTGTGGATGGCTTCCTACGTTCTCAACAAATAGTTGCTCTCAGTAAACTCAAAATCAGTCCCTGGATTTCAAAAAAATATGAAAGACCACACGTTTACCTGTACCGTTCGGGCGCGTGAACGTCAAACATGACTGTATGCAGCGCGGCCTGAGGCAACTGGCGTTTACACCAAACCTGAAACAGAAATTGAAGGCCCATGAACACAACCCATCGAAGCGAAGGCAGACGGGTTCAATGTTTGCTAAGGATAATCCACATCAGAATCCAGCATCGAAACAACTTACTAAAATTTTTATCTGACTTAATAAATTGAATTCTTTAATTCTGTTTTCACTGTGTGCCCCTAAACACGAGCGAAACTCTACAAAACGGCCTTAGACAACAGAGGTAATTGTTTTATTTGATTCACTTTCAGGGTGTGGCCAGGTCTGGCGTAATCCGTGAGCACATGTCCCAGTGAGAAAACAGTTAATTGGCCGAAATACTGATGAACTTAAACGAAGTTATCTGGCAAGTGCGCTGAGCTAATTAGCACTGCTGTTTTTTTCGTACAGAACTCGTGGTCATTCACTTGCTAGCAGAAGCCGACATGACGCAGTTTCTTATTTAAGTAGTATACCCTAATTTTTCTGAAAATATTGTGTACGAGCTGCTAAGGTATACGTAGACACCTATATAGTGCAACGCAGACTGACACACTAATCATTGTGCCGCATTTGCTGTCCGCAGAAATAACACTGGGGAAAACAAGGAGGGCGGAGAGAAACGCAGCTGTTTTTTAAACAGAAAATGTCAAATTCCATAGACATTCAGGCAGATGACCTGGTAATCCTAACATGTCATATCCCTAATAAAAGCTTAACTATTGTTATTGGCGTGTTTACAAATGCCACCTGGTTAAAAAATTTCCAATTTGAAAATAATCACCAGTCATATTGATATTCTAAGTCAAAAATTAAGTTAAAAAGTAGATTTAAGTAATATACCGAGCACCTTCTGAATTAAGTCAAATCAGCTGTTGTGGTGCTACTTAGAACAAATCTCATTCACTTTGATTTCGAAAGTTTCGAAAGCCTCATAAGGAAATTTCAGTTTCATTATGCTCCGTGACAGAGACGAGATATTCGACTTAACTCCCACATCACATTAGCAACATCGTCAGTTCAAAGTTGGAAAAAACCAAGTGCATTTTACCACTCAGCACATGTAAACATTTGTTCTCTGTTTATAATACAGGAACACATGCTAAATGTGTTTGGTTCCTTCGAACAAGGAAAGGTAAAGGGACAAGTGTACGTAAGCAGTTTAAGTATTGCAGAGTGCAGACTTCAATCCCAAAGCACCTCAGGGTAAGTAGCATGTTGATTAATTGGTTGCCAGTGGCAATTCGACTTCCACTCAAATCCATTGTTGCCCAAATCGATCTTGCGGGATACCTGCCAGAATTTCGCGTCTTGACTACGAGTGCTTCTTAAGCACATCGATATTTCCTAAAGCAAATGACTTCGGAGGCAAAGCCCTGGCTAATGTCAGCATTCACGAATTTTAAAGATTCCCCCTTAGATATCATTCTTAAGAAATCTCATTTACACACGGCTTCATAGTTTATCTTCCAGATTTTCCAATTCAACGTTTTTAGTTTTGAATGCGTCTTACTGCAAAGTAATGAAAGAAGTGCTGAAGTTGACGAAATTTAAACAAAGTCATGGCACAGTTTGACATAGGGAGGATTGTCAGCATGGGCTGCAGACGAAGAAAGACAAACAGGTTAGTTGGCGTGTAAACGATTACTGCAGCAAAAACGCAAAGCAGGAGGTAAGAAAAAAGAAGCTTACAAACAGCGCTTTACTCCCTCTTCTGTTAGAAAAAAGTTAAAAAAGGCTCAAGAATAGGTTTGAAAGTGTCGTGCAAGATCGTGCTCCTGAAAGTGTTTTTTTTCTAGAAGCCGCTGTTTAGTGTTCCATAGGGACGGGTTCCTATCAACCTGCATATTGCTAATTGTCTTTTTCCGATTGCGTCAACGACGACGAAGTGAGTGCGGGCAGTAGTTTAGGGATTACTTATTTTGGTTTGTGCAAAGAACCGGTTGATCTCCGCTCATGCTCGGTAAACCGCGTTCACGAATCCCTTAATTACGCAAAGGAAATCGACCAGTATGGAAAGACATCAGCGTTCTAAGTTATCCTCAGTACCCCCAATGCCCTCTGTAACGATTTAACGCTGGATAGAAGGCCATAAAACACGAATAAAAGTGGCTTAGTTAGAAAAAAATTCAGCAAATAAATCATTTCCCACAATGCCCTCGGTAATTTTATTGTCCTTGCTAGTGGAGTGGCCGTAAGTGCTTCAAAGAGCGAATGCGAAAAGTGCCTTATTTCCGGAAAAGTTACTACGGGAGTTTATGACCAGTGTATACAGATTAGGTCCTGGTGAAAGCGAATACCATTTAAACCTTGGATAGGATCTATGGTAACTGTTTTGCCATTCGGTTTGTTTGTTTAGGTCCACCGGAGTTGTTCTACAGCTGTCGCGTTCGTTAATATTTCAAGTAAAAGAAAACTCAGGGGTTTGCTTAGTCGTCTTCACCGAGGACCAAATGCGTAAAGTCAACCTTATGGACTGCCAAAGACAGCTCAATGTTTATTTGAGGCAGTGAGGTGATATTTCGTATCGTCCCAATACAAAATAATGTAGTTTGTGTGTTCTGGCACTTCACATGAACTATTAGTCCACAAAAGTGCGCTTTCGTGGCATTAACATGTGCCAGTACTGCTAGCATATTGTGAATGCTGACGAAGGCAGCATTGAAAAACCAGTTTGGTTACTTCACATTTAGGAGTATATTTCTTAACTATTTCGTGACACAGAGCACTGTGTTAGTGATGCATGATGCGAGGCAAATGGGAGTTTGTTTTAATCGGAAATTACCTCGCTTAGGAAGTTGGTCTATTTGAAAGTGGGCAGTGGATTTTCCCACACGCAAAACTCAGCCACTTAATTTATCTGCTGAGAGATTATAATACCCGCACAACGGCAAACGGAAAATCGAGGGTGAAGAAAATATCTTCTGACTGATTTTACTTATTTGACTGTTCACCGTTGCTTATTATCATGTGACGGTGAAAAATGGAAGCAGACAGTCACACCCAACACGAACGGCTCGTAAGCAATCGCTGTTAGCCAGTAAGACTTGACTTCTGCCTCATCATCAACTCCGCTGCAGAATGCCTTGGCACTACACATGGGGTTACGGCGCATCTGCCGAGAGAACAGTTACGGAATAAATGGTCTACTGAAAAAAAAACGTTTCGCCTTTCCCCACTGGCCTGGGATGCTTTGGGTGGGGAAAAACTTCGACACGTGATTTGACCACATGGACGATCCTTCGTTCCTGCTTTCCTCCCAAGGTAACATTTACAAGGCTGATTTAGGCTAAAGCAGGGAGGAGATGTTCTTCATTTAAATAAATAAAAGCACAAACGAATTGGCTGTATGTTAAGACCAATCATTAATTTGCTTGTTTTTGAGGTGCGCATTCAATTTCTGATTGGTGAAGAGGGTGGCGCAAAAATTAAAATTGATCGCGAGCAAAGGGACGATGAACCGAAAGCACGGCTTAGAGTCAGTAATTGTGAATGTGTTCGCAGGCCGGTTCGACAAGCAAAGGCTTCATTGGATACCTTGGGGTGACCACGAATACTGCTGCTCAAGCATTCATTACTTATCCATCCCCAATACGAGTCAACTTAGTGTCATTACTAATTAGTATGCTTCGACTTGTACAGTTTATTTGGCTATTTGAAAAAAATAATGCTTGAGATAACTCCAGTGTGTAATTTTGAAAGTAGGAGATCTGACTTTACGCATCAAGAATATTATTTGTAACAGAAAACCAGTGTTAATTGTTCTAAGTTCACCACTATTAAAATGTATCAATGAATTAATTATATCGTCATATACCAGTGCCACACAAACGCAAGGAACCTCAAAGGCCTACCTGGGCAAAAGATATGAAGAAAAGCTGGTTGAAAGTCATGTTTAGGCCTGGTATTTTGTGATGAGTCCCTTCCTCCTCCTGCAATTTCAGGAACGCCTAAAATTAAACAAAGACATACTTCAGCAACAGGTCCACAGCAGGTTTTTGTGGGCAATTTGAAGCTCGCTCTTGTTACCCGATAGGCAGCCTTTATTCCGCCGTTGTCAGCAATATTCTCGCTAAGGGTGAGGTGTCCATCAACCTGCAGAATTAAAATTAGTCACGATTATTGACTCGGGGAGTCTGCAGTGAATGCTGCACTTGTTTGCTTTCTAAAAGGTGCCCAAACTAGTAAAACACTGACACCGCAAATTTCTGTGCAAAGAAAGGCCATTACGCACGTGCTTTCCTTGGACTGAGTAATTGTGGTACTGAAGAACCATGCATTCACTGTTTTTCTCAAAGTCTGTTTTAGTGCTTTCACTCCACCATTGTCGAAGGTTTCCCTTGGCATCGTACTTGGAACCTGTGACAAGAAAGCGAAATTCTTATGCAATTGAGGGAGACCTTTTGAAGGCGATCAGGTTTTATCGCAAAACTGAGTTTTCTGATAGCGGATACGTAATGGAAAGACAAAAATTAGTTAAGTGTCGAAAGCTTCGAAACCGGGAATAAAGAGGCATCCACAAAAAAATACTAGCACCCTGTAAATGAAGCATTAAATAAGTCAGTGAGGTTTTCTACTGAGTTTTCTAGATAGTTGTCAGAAGTAATGGAGCAATGTAACTTAACCCCAAATTACTTCTACGCCTAGGAAAATGCCAGTAATTCCACTAAACCAATCTTGTTTCTTAAACATTATCGGGAGGCCACAGTAGACAATACTAAAAGTTGAAGGCTTTAGTGAAACTAGAAAAAAGAAAAAAACGCATGGCCATTGTTAGGCATGCGAGGAATCACGATTTAGCACCTTGCCTATCGAATGCATGGACGATTTCGTGGCCGACCACAACGCCTATTCCGCCGTAGTTCAGAGCAAGAGGAAAATTAGCGTCGTAGAAGGGCTTCTGGAGAATGCCGGCCGGGAAGTAGATGTGGTTCTCGCGTGGGTTGTAGAAGGCATTGACAATGTGAGGCGCCATGTCCCAGCTAAATTTTTCAAAACAAAAATTAGAATTCGGTCATCAAGTGCTTCATCAGGATCGGGATAAGGCAACGCATGGAGTCAACCTAATTATTATCAGCAGGAATACCGATTTTAACTTGTTTAATAGATGACATTGGTTTTAGACTGCTGTGCATACGAAAGAGTAAGTTTGGGAATCCGTGCAAGTACACTAATTAGGAATTTCATGGTTTTGCCCAAAGTGGGCAAGATATTTTAAGCTGTTGGCATTTCGATTGAGAAGAAAATCAGCCTAGCATAAAAAACGAGAGCTTTTTCGGTTGAAGAAGTTAGTAGGCAAATGAAATCTGTCTGGTTTCTAAGCAAAACAATTCACATTTCCGATAATGTCTAATCGGTTGGTCAAAGTTTTTGCTTTAGAAGGCGCGTTTCAACCACGCGATGATCTGAAAGTGGGTCTGACGTGTATAATAATCAATCGGGAAATTTTAATTTTACATTATGTGTGCGTTTAAGTTATGCTACTTGATCAGCGCCACTAACCCACTTTTGAGGTCAACAAGGGCCCCCAAATTTCCCTTTTAACCAAAACATGCCTGAAGCGATTTTACCCGAATAAGTACTTGATGGTGAAACTATTAAACCTCAAAGTGATTGGGTTCTTCGAAAATTGTAAAAGAGTCCTAAATTAAATGATGCCTCGCGATAACAAGTCTGCCATTTTATAGAATGTGTGTGATTTAATAGGTGAGTAATTTTAGCTGATAACAGAACAAAAACTGTTATTGGTTTAACGCTTTCGCCTGAACCATATATGTTTCGTCGAATAGTTGAAAATTCTTATGAAGACTAAGATCTCAGGAGTTAGAGATATTTTCTGGTAGCAAATAGATTCGAAGATCATCTATAATTTTGGCAGATTTAACATTAATATTCTCTTCATGATTCCTCTCAAGGAAGTGTCTGTGGACTGCGGTGAAGTTATCAGTGAACTGGCATGTCACTGAGCCTGTTAGAGGGAGAGAGAGCACATCCCGAGCAAGGTAACAGAACGCACGTTTTGACGGTGTCGTCATAGAGTTTCTGAAGTAGGACCAGCGTCTTGGATTTGGCGAGAGTAAAACTGTTTTCGAGGAAGGTCTCGTTGCTGAGAGACTCCTAAAAAGATGAAAATGCAAATTCCTAAGGGAAAGAGAACTACGGAAGTGCCAATGGTGGCCACAATTCATGCTCTCTACGCCTTAGAGTGTTCTAAATCATATCTTAATTGCAGGCACATGCAAAAGCATGCCTACGAAACGTTGTGGCGTGGAAATGGTGGTAGGTTTGATCAAAACCGTTTTTCATGAACGATCAAAACGCATGAGTGGTTTCGATTACTGTAAATAATTATTTCGTGTATTTTTAATATTGTCTTTGACATTCAGAAATAATTGGAGTAAATTTAAGTAAACGGAAAAAACAACGAAATACTGCTAACATGAGGATACGGTCAATGTGATTTATTTGACTTAGTACAACCACCATTATTGCTACCAAACTCAAAATTTTGCTGTACATTATAGCTGCAAAAATTAGGAAATCATAGTAACCCACCACTGCAAGATAGGGCCTGTTTTCTTTTTCAATGTCGTTGATGTCGTCAGGGTAACCAATGGAATCTCCCATCAAGTCAACCTAGAAGTCGTTAAAACGCGAGGCGAAAAACCCACTTTCTCCTCAGCCCCCTTTTTGGCCTTTTCGTCCATCCAGTCTACTTGGTGGAATGAGGTTTTGAAGGCCATTTTGATTCTTGTAATCATTTTTGTAGCCTGCAACAAATGGAGTAAACCGGGAATCTGTGGACGCTTACCATTTCCTTGCTTCTCTCATCAAAGTGTCGAGATACGAACTTGCGAGCAATCGTCATCCCGAAAAACTCCTCGGCATTTCGCACGCATGATAACCAGCGTTGCGGTTGTTCCTTCACACCTAAAATGCATAAATTATTACGTGATTGTTGTCAAAACCGATAACCTGGCAAACTTTTACTAATTTGCCACTAGGACAAGCACACGACGACATTTCATTGGACTAAGTGGAATTGGAAAGGCTACACTGTAATTGCAAGTGGAAATCGAAAGTGACCTGCTTTAGGTCCAGTGGAATGCTACTTGCTTTAATCAAACAAGGTAAATATTACAGTGATCATGCCAAAGAGGTATACGATTCGTTGTTGCTCAATTAAACACGTTTCGGCGAATGTACTTTAGGCTTAGAATCTGTTAAAACACGCTTAATTATCACACCAACTCTTGCCAAAACAGTGGCCTCACCCAACCTTATTCTCTCCAACAATTGTTCCCGTCACACTCCCAAAGAAGCAGCCATCAAAAATGCTCGCGTCCTGGAACTCTTGTTGGCGGTTCGATAAATCGGACTGGCATCGGCAGTGACACCTAGTTTTATTTACTAGTCTCTGAAAACAATTAATTTTTAGAGTACTTAAAAATTCATTTTTCCCAGATTTTCAAACACAAGGCACTTAAAAACACTTAGACTAGCCTTATGAATTTTAACCCTATCCATTACTAAAGTATTTTTCTAATGTTGACTTCTTTATGGTGTAAGTGGAGCCACCAAACATCGAATCCCCAGATGTTGAAAATGCAAATGTTATAGTAAACATGTGCTACAGTTCTTCCGTCAAAATAGAATCACCTAGCATTTTGTGAAAGGCTCGAAGTTAACGCAGGTGAGCACACACCACATGCTAATCAACCGCGATAAGGGTTTTTAATACAAGTTTCATTGGTGTAAACCCCCTTAGGAGTGGTAACACAGAGCTGAGAATAAGATTTTACACAAACGGTCTAGTCCGTTAAAACATGCAAAGTTGTAGTAAATCCTGCTTGACAGGACTATGCCACAGTTTTGGTGATGTTTTGAAAAGGACAACTAGAAGGGTATTTACAAATTAATCCAAAGTAAATTCACCAAAGTGAACGTGTGGGTTGTCAGCTCTCATTGTTGGGGGTTATTTTTCACGAGTGTCAGAATGTTTGTGCATGAATGTCAAACACGTCACAAGTCATTCACTCATCCAGTTACTATGAGGGATTGTTCTGGTGTCGGTTTGCAGTGTGGGGATGGAATTACATGAATGTTGCGTGATTGGTGGTGCATGCACGCAGCAGAATCACTAGGAGATTTCATCTGCGTTTGGATGGCCAAACACTTTGGTTTCGTGGCCACGAATTACAGGTCGGAAAGAGTAAGCACTTTGAGAAACCTGAGCACACATACAAAGAATACTAAGAGTGCTGTAGAAGGTGCTTTCGAGTTAAAAAAAAGGGGCTCAAATGTGTTCAACATCTGACGCTAGGCCTTGCTTACCAGTGCTCGCTTGTTCGTACATTTCGATTTCTTTCCTCACAATAGACGGCATGTAGGGGCTAGTAGACCACAGAGTCCTCCAGATCGCAGCATCGTGCACTATTCTTAAAAAGAGGCATTTGCGCAGTTACATTCAAAGTTCAAGAAAGACAACAAAATCCGCAGTTGTTGACGCTTCTTGGAAACTTTGTCATAGAAACGCATAAAATAAAAATTTTACGTTTAACATAAGTCAATGACTGGAGGGAAGTCACTTTTGTCAAAACTGGCTGAAATCCGTGAGGCAGATTTAGGCTGTCATTACCTCCTTTTAAATTCAAGCATGCATATTAGAGCCTTAAAGTATTTTGCAGTGGTTGCGTCAGCGCCTGCAAAGGCACTGACGTTCTTTTCTAATGCTTGCACTCGTGGTAATCGCATTCACTGAGGGAGCGAAATGGCTATGCGACCGATGCACTAGCACACTAAAAAACACACACATTCGAAGGGTTATCAAAGCTTTCAAGGCGTTCACACGCAGCAAAGAGGTGTGTGCAAAAATCGCTTTACTACGTGGAAAACGGGAAGGAAATTAAGCATTCAGATGCCGTGGGTAGAGTCTTGGCAAGCAGAAAATGTAAAAGTGCTTACTTTATCCTCTCTGGGGAGGCCATATAGTCGGCGTATATCTTACAGCGTTTTTCGAAGAAGGGTCGGTCACCGATTATAACCGTTTCAGAGTCCAAGATTTTGTACTTTACCGCACTAAAGAGGCCGTTGAAGAGGCGTTTCCAATCGATCTCCACAAGCCCAAGAAAGGTTACGAATTAGTAAGAAACATTTATTAATTTAAAGTAAACCATTTGCTTCCGGTTCATGCACACTAGTGACTTAGTTTTTATGATTGTCACCTGATCAAGACACCGATTTTCTGAGACGTTTGAAGTATTGGATTTTTTTAATAAAACGGTATCAATCACGGTGCATGCAGCAATGACAGACCCAACATTCAAAGCTATCTCAATGGATTTAAAAATTAAACCATGGGTTTATTGAGATTTTAACGGTTTTATTAATTTCTGGGGTTTTTTTGTTAGAACTTTGGGAAAACATTCACTTATATTTTTTTCTGTGGGAATTTCAGGGCGACCGATTGCAGCTCCAGAAATGCCACGGGCAGAAGGTTATTTGGTGAAATTAGCAGCCGCTTAAGTCGAAGTATCTCCTTGTCTTAAACCAGGCACCCCAGGGCTAATAACTAGAACACACAATCAGCTTCGTTAACATGCTAAACCATTGCTGGGATTTCTCTCAAACCAGAAACTTATGAAGAAGGCCTGAGTACCACTGTGCAGCATAATGGTGCCGCGAAAATTGTACTTCTTGTGTATGGCCCTTTTGTATCACACAAAGAAGTACATGGGCGTTGGTAAAAAGGCAAGTTCAAGTAAAATCCCTGGTGATTTGAAAGTTTAATGAAACTTGAATGTAGACTTGGCATTTTCTTGACAACGGGATTATTAGTTTGAACCAATATTGGTTCCAGGCATTGGATTTGATAAGTCTTAAAAATATAAAACATGCAATCCTGCTTATGATCATAATTTCTGACCAAGAGTATTTAATACATGCACTGAAACACAATCCTATTTTGAGCTTTTGCCTGAACTGAATTTTCTTCCACTCCTCTCCCACGGTAGAAGCAGTAACATGATGGAGACATTTCCGGCACTGTGCAAAGAGAGCTAGCGTGATTGACGCTATCGAGATCTTAATTAGGCCGCTGCGATGCCAAAAATGTTAATTGGAGATCTAATTTTATCGTTACTGGAAAACATGAGTACTTCTATCGGGGTCAAGCCTTTTGAAAATATTTTCTTAATACCGTGATTAGAGTTTTTTTACAGAAACTCAGACATAATTAAGGTGCTACTGGCCCTTGAAGAACAAATTGATATCAGTATTGCGTCACCGATAGCAGCTATTTCAGAATTTTTAAAGCAAAGCAAAATGCACACAAAACCGACGAGGTTATCGTTTCAAAAGACAGAAACCACGAGCAGGAGCCTTACCACTGGACAGAATTCCTGGAGTTCAGTCATGTTCAACTTAAAGAAGTTGGTTTCAATGCTCTGGCGGGCTCTTGGCTCCATATTCTAAAGGCAAACACTTTAGTCCCTCAATCTCTTGAATTGCCATGGCAACGCAAGAATGACATTTTGTACCTTTGCCATTAACGTCTCCAATTCAAAAACATCGTCCATTGCTTTGACGTGGTCTTCTGGCACACCCAGCATTGCGGCATAAGTGTGCATAAATTCTTTAAAGTGATAAACCACCTAAAAGAGAGGCAAATACGATGCTGCAATCAGTTGTTTTGGATGATCACACTAGGGGATGGCGAGTTCTGTTAAAGGTTATGTACCACATTCTCCTATGCTTCTTTTAAAAATTATAGCAGAATGCGTAATTTGGGTTTTGAGGATTAATTAGTGTGAAAACGGACGCACTGAATTTGTTTACTTTGACTGCATTAAGTTCATGCTAATCTGAAGGGAATAACTTTAAGCAATGCTAAATTAGAAAGTTATTAGGATCCAATGATCAGATAGCACTGACTTTGCCGCAGACTAAAACCGAAATTTACTCATTTTCTGCGGAGCCTGAAAGTCAAATGATATTAAAATAAGAATGCGGTTCTGCATGTCATGCAACGATTTGAAACCCTTAATTGCCATTACCATCTAGAGGGACTTCCGGAGCGACTACAATCCATGGCTGCACTTCCAACAATCTGATGATGCAAAGCATCATTTAATCTTTAGAATACTGCTAGCATGCGTGGCCGTTTTTGGAATTACAGCCCAGTTCGAAAATGTTATAAAAACCCTGAACATAAGCATCAGGAGCACTCAGGTTCTGGAGCAGAACCAGATATCGAACCTGTGACTCGGGATCAATTTCTAAATTCAGCCCAACGTTGTAATTTACTTGAGAAAAGTCATATAACGATAGAACTACTTCCGCCGGTTTCAGAACGATTTAAAGCTGATTTAAAACAGTGGTGTAGTGGCACAGCGAAATCAAAGCATTAACAAATGCTGTTGTCTGGAAGCATCAGGAACTGCAATAAATCAGCCGTATTTTGGTAATGCATTGTGTTCCAAGATCGTTACTGCCTTAAAATTAATACACTTGCAATCACAAAACATCCTGTTGAAAAGAACAAAGGAGATTATGATAGAGAAAAAAAACTAAACCTTTTGTATCTTTGCGTCAGTTGTTTCGAGGTAGTATTCTGGGAGCATGCTGACTTCACCAGGAGCAAGCTGAAAAACAGGAAATAATTTAGCAACATGTTCAGCGAAATGTATTTTGCTTTAAGTGAAGCGCAATCAATGACAGTTTGATATTTTTAGGATGTTATATTTACAAAAACCACGGCAACCTCAACATGTTCAGCAACCCAGCCCATATCGACTTGTCGTGCTTGTAACCCTTATTTTAGGTTGTGGGAAACACTAAGGGAAATAATAAAAACGATTGATATTTTTAAACGAAAGATATACTTAATGAATGTACTATATTATACATGAGTTAGGCCTTCAGTCACTAAAACTGGTTAAATAACATGGGAAGATGCCAAAAATATTTGCATTTTTACAGTGTCGGTCAGTTTTGATTCATATAAGCTTATCAAATATTTTACACCTACCAATTAATACAAAGGCGTAGTAAATGTGGCTACTTTGCATCGCGTGGTGTCGTGAAAATAGCGTAATAATTTGTTAAGTTCAATGAACTACTTCTCATTGGGGTACAACATTTACAAATAGCTTTGTTTCCAAAGCATAAACCCGACCGCGAATCAGCGGTTGTGCTAATTGAATTCCTATTTAGAAGTCAAGATTTATCATATCTAATAATTATGAGTTTTCTGTGTTGTGATCGAAACAATACCCCTAGAAGAAATTTTTAAATTGAATGCGATCATTCGAGTGGTAAATGAAATAAATATTGATACAACAAATAGCTTATTGATCTCACATTACAGATTGTCAATCAGCATACATTTTAAAGTTAGCACTTTTAAATTTTCGAGTAACAAATTGCCTTCTAAGGCTAGAATATAAAGAAGTTTGGCAATGAATGATCTAAAAATGAAAAAAAATATTTGTTGGAGGCACAGAATTACAACTGAATGCAACGTTTTGTCGAAAGCCCCTCAAAAGTATATATCTGAGATATAAGAGCTTTTTACCAGAGTCCTCAGTAGAGGACGTTGGGCTATCTGTTTGAGAACGTAAGGAACTCGAACGGTGCCAAGAAAAGTTGAACAGTAAGGGTTTCCGCAATAACTAGCCATCCCGTAAAGAAAACAGACTATGCAGTGAACGAATAGGAAAAAAACGACATGCAGCGCTGTGCAGAAAATAGCTGCCTACCGTAGACTAGTTAATCTGAGATCTAAGAGAAACTAGGCAACGCTCTTTAGAAAAATATGCCATTACGTGCTTCATAGTTTTGTAAGAGAATATAAGTATCAAGCATTCTGGAACTTTATTAGCGCAACACAGAATAATGAGGAATATAACTGGAAGTATGTTGGCTGTCTGCAGGCACCAGTATTGCGTAAAAGTGCTGACTGCTTGAACTATAGGCACAGTAAGTGGAACAAATAAAGCCCACGCAACCTTGCCTAATGCAAACATTTTTTTACCCCGAGTGGAACATATTTAAGTTACAGATGTCTTAAATAGATCAAAATTCAACTTATGGGCTCACATTCAAAAATATCCATGCGTGAAATGTTGAAATGTTTGCGAAATAAATAATTATGCAGACCCGAAGTTAAATATACATTAGATAAATTTTAATAATTTTCTTTGCAAATGTCCATTCAATAGCTATACCTGACTATTATTAAATCAATTACCATTCACGGTAAGCTATTCTTCGATCTAAGAAAAACTAAGCATGTTAAGGTTACCAGCACTTTGCATTTGGCCACGACCCTAAGTGACCTCGCAAGAATTGTCAGCACGTCAAGTGGAAGGAACTTGCCTCGGGCAAATAGCTAGGTCAAACATCAAGTCTGGGATTCACGTGGTTGATGACGGAAAACGACGATCGTGCGAACACGGATAACGTGTGCAAATCCACGAATATTGGCGCCTAATGGCCTCATGGACGGTTGATGAAGGCTAAGTGGCAAAACAGGTGCTGCTATGGGAATTTGGATTCAGTTGCTGATATCATGGCCATGGATGGCATTAAGCTGGCGCAAACCATCCTCTCAGGCTGCCAAGTGGTTAAACAAAATTAACACATTATGTCCCAAAATCAGTGTTATTAACCAAAGTGCTTATTTCACATCTAAATATCAGCATCGCAAGAATCAGGCCAGAAACACATGAATATTTTGTGGAGCTTCTTCTTCTTCTAAATGCGCAGATTGTGAAGACTGCGTGCGAATATTTACCTCCGGGATGGATATTGTGGCGTTCCCAGCCCTGAATCTGCAAAGAACACCGTAGGTGGTCTTAAAAGCATCTTTTTCCAGGACCTACCAAACTCTCAGACTAACAAGCATGGGTTAATTTCCATCAATCCACTTATGTTGCACTCTGAACAGGCGTTGGTGATGAGTAAAAGATAACTCAGGAATTACCAAAGAATGATTTTGATGGCTAGTGAGGGAGAGTTTCATGTGCATAGTTTAGGAAAGACATAATTTAGGTAAGCGTGAGTTCGTCACGCCGCAGCAAGAACTAAGAGTCTTACTTAAGTATTTCAAACGAGATCATGTGTTACGAAATAAGAGATATCAATTTAAAGAACACACTTTATTGGAATAGTGATAGCTGAAAGGAGAAAGGCAAATAGCTTTGCACGTAATCGGCATGAGCAAAACAGTAAATTTCGAGGTGTAGGATAAATAAATTAAGACATCAAACAATTAAATGAAGCGTTCTTACAGAGTCAAGTAGAAATGGTGAGGAATTAAGAAACTTCTGGCCAAGGATTTATGCACATATGGTTTCGACGACATGTTGTCGATAGTTAACGTATTTTATCTGATTTTATTATTTTACAGGTTATTTCATGTTTGAATAATAACATACCAATAGCTCAATCAAACGAAGTGAAGACAGTTTAATTTGAAAATTAAAAATAACATTTTGACATGGGCATTTGAACAAATGGGAGCAATATGTTTTACGAGGACTTGAATCGAATGAATGGAAACGCTGTATAAAATGGCTTTGGATAGTGATCACAATCACAAAAAAATATTTAAAAATAACATTCTTTTGGAATTATTAATGACAATATCATGTTCGTTTTGATATTCTTGGGGGAATGGAGATCATTCAATATTTGAGAGAACCTGCAACCATCAAACCGAAAAGTGGAGAAGGAATGTTGAGGTAAAAAGCGACAACAAAAGGAAAAAATGCATAATGCAATTGGGCTCAATTTAGTAGTGAGTTAAAGTAATTAATATAGGCTTTTATATAGTTAAAGGCGTGCCGACACGCCACTTCATCGGTTATGGAGGAGCAAGCTCAAAAAAATGACGTTTTTACATTGCGATTGACGGCCTACATCACCCATCAATCAACATCCGCAATAACCATCTACTTCTGAATAGGTTGTAAGTTACCTCGAAATGGAAAATGTCACGAATTCAATTTTCTCTCTCCTTTGAACAGTTTCAGTTAACGAAAACGCCTTCTGCACACCGCTTTCTTAGTTTCCAAATGACAATCACATGTATTCTATTATAGTCGCTTTACTATTCTGGTGGTAATTGCTTTCAGTGTATAAAACATAGGGGTTCGAATCTGTTACTTATGACTTGTTAGCAGGTGTACAATTGTAAAATTCACCTAATTAGTCGTACGTCATTGAAAAATTTGGGAGCAGTATTGATTATCGAAAAAAGGTTTACTATGCTTAGTCGATTCCTTTGGATGGCCAAGCAAATTAAGATGACTACATTTCACATTTTCGCCTCTACTCCAAACGTGCATGGTATTTTGACGTTTATTTAGATTACACAAGTCCTTGTGCAGATTTATTGCTCTAATCAAAGTTGACATCATTTTATTTATAAAATACCTCTTATGAATAAAATTGTTGTAGTTTGTGCCACGCACCTAATTTGGCTGACGTGTATTATTCGTGTTTTTAAGTTGGGATAAAGTAAAGCAAAAAGTAGCTTACTGTAATGGCATAGCGACTGGAATTCCGTGGATCCTTTTCGATAAGAAGTTGAAAAATGTCGACACCGTGGCCATGGCGGAGGAAGATTCCAATGAGATCAGTTAGGTCATATTTTCCTGGTTGAAATATGTCCTCGGAGTCTGATCGGGCTCCCTCGGTGCCTTCTGGGAGCAGCCGCCAACCGCCGAACAGTCGTGTCAGAATAGATTTTATTGGCTGCAGACCAAGACGGTTGACAGCTTGTTCGTTTATGCACGAGGCGAAGTAAGTCTTTGCCAGTTGTAGTCCACGGCTGTCATCCGGTGAAGCTTCCTTTTCTAAAAACATCTCATTATATATGCAAAAATTGAATCAAAATTTTAGGTTCTCTGAAGGGAATGGTCGTTTTGTTAAGTATCTTGAGTGTATTGTGTTTTTTGGCGCTAAACCGCCCATTAGAATATGTCACGGTCTCTAAGAGGCTGTGGAAAACGGCTAAGTGCAAACAACTAGCTCCATGAATCACCAAGACCCGGCGAAAACTGGGAAAAAAATTCTTTCCTAGGTAGTGCAACTAAATGAGCGTCTTTTTTAAAACCTTCTAACACACAACTAGGCGGCCATCCTGTGTGAAAACACCACAGTTTTGCATGCCTGTGTGGACAACTGCCAAATTTTCCCTCGGAATCATTTCGGTTTCACACTGATCTGCATCTGCACTAGCGCAAACAAGGAGCATTGGAACTTAATGCACACTACCTTAACTTAGTAAGTATGCGAGCGTAGGCACATTTACCACCGTGTTAGATATAAATTGCTCGCCTAGGTGATCGGCGGAATCACAACTGCCCATGTGCGTTGTACTTACGTGGTAATCTATTTGCAACTGCATCAAAGATACCACTGAGTACTGACATTAGACATTACTTGAATATGTGTATTTCACTGCTGAGAATGCCGTAATTTTTTGACAAGCAGATGCAAACCACTGAAAAGGATCATGTAGGTACTTATTTGTGCGCAGTTAATTAGTAGAAAAAAAAATTGGCTTTTCACATTTGATTAGCAATAGACTGAATTGGATTCCTTTGATTTGTGAATCCAAGGCGCTGTCCCCTGACGAGTTTCGATGTGACTTGAGAATTGCAGCGGTGGTTTTCGAACCCCTTGTATTTATCCCAATTTGACATGAATGAGATTGGCACAGCACCTCTGTAATTGTTAGATAATTTTCTGCCAAACATGGTTCACAAAGGAATCTTAACTTCGACTTTATTAACTAGCGGAGGGAAAAAACTTTGAGAACAGTAATCATAGAGTTTCCTGATTTATTTGTGTGCGTATATCTCTGGCAGGTCGCATTATCTTGGCATGTTAAAGTTAATTATAAATCTTATTGGAGGTACTTGACTGATCAGTCGTCTACACAGCTAACTATTAAATAACCATGCCTTTTGTAAGTAAAGTCCGGCTCATTGGGATATCGATTTTTGGTAAAAAGATACTTATTATATGCCTTTCGAAATTGTTACCGAATATCACCCAAAAGTCAAATTAGCTGCCTAGAGACATGCAATGAACAAAAATGTCCCGGTAAAAGACGAAATAACAATCGTTTGTTTTAGACCAAATGGATAAATCAAATTTTGCTTCGGAAATTTTGGTTTGAATTGTTGATAGAAACAGAAAAATGTCGTTGTCAAATTAGGATTATAGTTTAACAAAAAGTGAGCGGAGCGACATCATGTGCCCGTTAAATTTTTTCGACAAAAAACCGAAGGCTTTTAATCTTAAATCCGATCAGACCGGAGCGAATTCAATTTTGCTTTTACTGTCAGCTAAGTTATGAAGCACACAAAGTAGAGGTAAAGATAGGTGATATTAACGCCATCGCCATAAATTTGTTTTAACTCCTGGTGACACCAGTTAAATTTAATGAAATAAAGAGATATCGTAGACTCTTTGATTCGTGTTATGTACCAAGGCATGCACATATATTAAAAAGTAAAATATCTTTTTTGCCAATGGATAAAATTGGCCAGTTATGCATGCATATCCACACTTATTTAAGGTGCAGACGATTTCACAATTATCCTATGCAATAAGTACTTAAACTAGAAACAATAAAATGCTTAAGTAGGACAACAATCATGTGTCAACGATCATCTGAAATAATGTCGACCATTGTTATGCAATCACTTCCGAACATCTGTGCGTTAACCTCACCAAGCGAAATTAAGTGTCAGAAATATGTCGCTGTAAATGCATTCATTCAGGCCACGTCACTAGCCAACAATTAACTAGGGTCTAGAATCACTGTCCCAGTATATTAAATCGGTACAATGACGATTATTCTACGCTGTCCGATTATGAAGCCTTATATAAAGTGGCAGTAAAGGCAACTTGTGAATCTTAATAGCCTCAAAAAGCTGTCCATCTAGCCCAAGTCTTTGCACACAAAATATTAATTTACACACCCAGTAGGTCTTTAGCAAAGTACTCCGCTGTTTGAGCTAATTCAGAGAAGACCGTCCAACTGTTTGTGCCAGGTGGTATGTGGTGTTTCTCGATCCAGCCACCGCAAGCGTAGCTGTAGAAGTCGACACACGGATCAGCAGATATGTTCATTCCAGAGAGAATTTTGTGGGCGGTTCCAATGCATTCCATCGTTTGGCAAGTTTCATCTTAGGGTAAGAGGCACAATCCGCAAAAATCAGGAATTCACGTCACAAGTTTGGGTCAAAAAAAAATAAAAGAAGAGCTTGTTGCTGAACGGGGCTCAGGGACTTCATTCCTACTGCGTCTTGCAAAGACCCTAGACGTAGAATGTAACAGTCTTAAACATTGCCTTAATTACATGGAATCGTGTTCGGTAAAAAATTGTTTGAATCCTAAAAAGCAAATCTACCTGTGACAATATATCTAAAAACAAGCTAGGAATCATCCAAGTCTTTTCTGGATAAAGGCAATAACCTTGTGTTGCTTTGTTTAAATCATGGTTTGGTTTTGCTTATTGAAGGCAGGATACCCTTTAACCTCAAGAATGCCTAAATATGAAAAAAATGGTGACAAAATTTCCGACGACCTTTTGCTCGTAGCAAATAGTGAGTGATTGTAACAGCATTGCTTTGTGAATTAACATTATTGTTGGGGGTGACAAAAAATACTTCATATATCAAAAGTAAGTTGTTCAAATTATTGGCTGCGTGAAATACAATAGGATCTGAGCAAGTGGACTGCACTGTAATTAAGGATGCACGCATTAAGAAGTATGTACTCTAAGTTAAGTCGGGCATTAAGCATTAAACATAAGAATCGCTCACCCCTAGGTGTTCTTAAGCGAAGAAATATGATTATGATCAGCAGAATAACCAAAATGACAGCAAAGATAATGAGGAGAAAATCTCTCCATGTGCACGCAGTGAGTCGTTTATTGTGTACACGGCGAATGTGGGGACTACGGAATTCGTTTGCGTCGGCGGAGGTAGTAAGTATCATGGAGCTATTCATTTTCCATTCAACTATTTCGAATTAGTCGGGTTTCTCAACAAATCATTAGATGAAACCGGTTGCGATGCCTCTTCCGAGTTTGAATAACGTAATGAGGAGGACACGCTTCTAGCTGTTGCTTCTACAGCCAAGTACTGAGCGTTTGGTTTGTCAGTAGCGTCAGTAACCGGGTCATAGGTGGAGGCAAGCATCTGATTGGTCGGCAGACTCGAGGACAAACTATTACGCCTAGAAGAACGCCGGCCACCAACCAGAAAGCGCTTAGTGTCCAGTGCCCCATTAAGTAGCAACTCTTCCCTCACCATAGAGCGTTTGTAAACGTAGATTCATCCATGTACATGTTGTTGTTCTTTTGACGTTTAAAGTGTTACGTAGCTTCACATAGTTAAGTGTGAGTATAGTTAACATTTACTGAGGGGGGCAGATAGGTTAAGTGCAGAAATAACTATTTTGGTCCAGGATGAGATAGTTTTGAGTGCACAGTACATGCTCAAAGAATGCAATAGGCTGAGACTCCTGGAGCAAAGCTGATTGGGTCATCTATGACATGTGAACTCTTCGTGTGGAAATAATCAGCCGACCATTATTCCTGTATGAAATCCCTTGACTTAAAATCCATCTGTGTTGCGGGACCTTACTGCGTTGCAATATGGGGTCGTGCTACTGCTATATATCTGTTGTGGGCCCCAGCATGTGGTCTTGAACCATGCCGGGGCTACTGAATTAACCCTGGCCCGATTACGCTTGCCTGATACCCGCGATGAAGGAAAAAAGGCCGGAGAGGACGGACACAAGCGTTTACTTCAGAGGTCAACAACGTTGGTGTCGTGTGTGGTGTTTGCGCGTGTGTATTTATAGCTCGGATGTGTGAGTCAAACATGCGCTAACATCGAGGCCTATGTGTGGGGACACTCCAAGATAAATATTCGGGCTAATGAAGGGGGGGGTTGAGGATTCGAGAGGCTGGCGACATGCTGCGACAAGGGGAACCCTGTGTAGGAGGTGGAGCGACCGGATTAGGGGGTTAAATAAACAGGATTCACGACATACCCAACAGGGATAACCGGTGTGGTAAGCCGCCACTGTGCTGGTCGAAGCAGATCAAGGACTGTTAATGGGAAATTATTGGACCTTCTGCTTTAATCCATAGCAAACAACTGGACATCTGTTAAACTAATTACTTGTATTGCTTACGAGCCCCAATAAATTCTAATGTTTGCACAGAGTTGAAATTTCAAGTTACTCTCTGAAACTAAAATTCATTTACCAGAAAGCTGTTGTGATTGCTGAAAAAACTACTTGACTGTAGTTTTATCACTGAGAATTACGAAATTTTGGGACTGGGATTTCCAAAATTCATTAGAGGGGAATCAACAGAATTTGAAAATGCACCAATTTCATCCTTTTTTCATATCAACAAGTCTTTTTATTAGTTTAAAATAGCCTATTGGACTAAAAATACTTGCGTCTCAGGCTGCATCCGTGAACAGCAGTGTAAATTGTTGTATTTAATCAAAATTTTAACAAGGTAAAAAAAGAAATGCAAAATAGTTGGGAGCCGAGGAGTACCTAAAATTTGTGATGTACAGTTGACAATAGCATCGAGTTTGGTATAACGTGCACATAGTCTAAATCTACACTTTGTTTATTGAAAAGATGTCGACAGTAGTGAACTCCTGTTCTTGCTAATTGCAGACGTCAATTTCTTAAACCATTGCATGCGTTTCGCTTGCAGTCCATTTACCAATCAGAGTGATTGTATGTTTAATTTCTGTTCAGTTCAAGTTCGCCAAATAAGCAGCAAGAAACAATTCGAAGAGCAGGAAGGTACTTTTTGATTTATATTTTCATCAAATCACACGAAGCAATACCTACTCATGTGTTGTCTATTGATGCTTCAAAGCTTAGGATAAATATAACGTAATTTAATTTCTTAAATCAGTGAGATGTCAGAAGCCTCAACACCGAGGATGATCGAACTCAGCGCTCATGTTACTCTTGCAGCAGCAACTATATGTCATTCGCAGCATGTCCTTCATCAAACTAAATTAAATCACAACTCACAATCTTGATTTTTGTAAATGTGGTTCCGAGTTCACGCACATTCAGTCGATAAGCAGTCACTTGTGTTTCTCCCACCGTCTGGCCATTGACTTTATAATGCAACCAGTTGACACGCGACCCCAAAACATTTCATGACGTGATGAATGACATCTTAAAAGACTACGACAATTGGTAATCCGGCTATTGAACTAAAAATGATATTTTGCTATAGTGTATCAGCAAGCTACCAACTCGACGTATATTGCGTATTAACGAGTCCCACATTGTCGAACAAGCCTTTTGTCTGTTGGTATGCTAATTTAATGCAGCTAAAAGAAAAAAAGAGCAGCGCGCTTGACCAGTGGGACTAACTAGAACTGTTGGAAGCTGGTAGTTTGTCGTGAATATAATTGAATAAGTAGCATATTAGTTTTCTATCAGGACTACTTTTAAAAATTGCAAATGATTGTAGGTTTAATTCATGCTAGTATTTTTAATCCTTTGATTTGAATTTGATATTATTCCCTTTGAAGGCCATATTTTAATAATAATTAAAAAATCCATAAAACATGGCGATTGGTAATATTGGACACCCCTTTAGCAACTCCAAAATGCGACAAATTTCAAGCAGCGGCTATTTAAGACGCACGAAACGCCCATGTATGCATTTCAACCCATTCCGTATTTATTTTCATTAGTCAAAGGCCTGTGGCTTGCAAAAACTGGAATTTCTAAAGATAAATCCGGGAGTCTTTGAGCAGCAAAACGTGTCTTGAGCTGTTGTCGACCATTCACTAATAATTAGACTAAGAGCCCCCAGACATCAGATAAGCTTAGGCAAAGAGGTTTGTGTTTAATTCTTATTTGACAATAAAAAAACTCTTATTAGTTCTCAATAAAAGCAGTGAAACCTAATAAATTCACATTAATCAAAAAAGGTTAATTAAAATACCCCTTACCAATCCTGGCCTGTTTGGAATAGGTCGAAAAAGTTTAATTTCAAAACTTACTTCAATTGATGCAAATAAATTTCGCCCCTTTGTTGTACAAAAAGCATTTCTAAAATGCAATTTCTAATGTCGAATCGAATTATGCCCAATAACCAATTACCAAATGTAGGGCAAAAATGTGGATGCTCTTCTGGGAGGTAACTATGAACTTATGCCAGTCCGACCATTTTTGGTTAGCCATAATTTAATGTAACCGGATTACCCATGACAAAGACCCCTCTTTTGGTTCACGACCAAAACAAACTACGGACACCTGGAAAAACCTACATAGATTGTGCTTTGATGACCTCACGTTCGCATCAAGGCAGAATTAGGTCTTTCATTCCATGTCTTTTGATTCTACACAATCCCAGTCCCTTGTCAACTTTACTCAATATTACCTGGCTCCCTAAGTGGGCCAACCTCAAGGGAAATTGACAAG